GGATGAGGACCTCGTCAAGGTGGTAACACAAAAAAAGCCACACTCCTCAGAGGTGAGCTCACCCTGAACCGTTCTACCATACTTGACATCAGTCCAAAACCAATGAAAGCAGATTTGCCCTCAAAATTGTCGCTGAATATCGAGTACGTCGAATTTCAGGGCATTTACGTGAGATGCGAGGCGCTGAGAGGGTTGCGAAGTTAGGAGTCTTTCTGGATGATTGATATCTGTGTTTGGCGGATTTGGAATGCGGCTTCATCGTCACCAGCTTGCTCTCCCTCTCCCTCTATCTCTCTCTCCCTCTCTCTCTCTTTCTCTCTTTCAACCGCCAACACGAGCCCAGCATGCCTAAAATGCGCGTCACGACGAGATGTTGATGCAACTCTCGTTGGCCCCATGCCCCCGCCCTGTTCTTCAACCCCCCTCACCCCCCTTCCTCCCTCTCCACTCGTTCAACTCAGGGTAGTCTCCCTGATGACGGAATGGTACCACTGCGAGCTGCGTCGTGACTTGTTACTGATACAGCCCCACAATGGGAGACGCGGGAAGCCATCTCACGCTGCGTCTGGTCGCATCGCGGCTGTCTGCTGGGCTGCTGTCGCTGTCGCTTGAGAGCACCAATGTGGGTTCGGGATATTCTGCTGCCTAGCGGGCGGTCATGAACGTTTGGGACAGCGGCAGGGCCTAAAAATAAGGGGGAAAAAACCATGGGCGGCGTCGGGTCGAGTCCCTCGGAGGTGTGGACGTGGTAAGAAAACCCCCGGGCTCGCGCCTCTCTCACCACCTGTTTCCTCTCTTCCAATCCGGTCCTCGTTGCACTTTTGTCCGAGTCTGCCTGAACACGCCTGTCCTGGCCCGGCCCTCTTGCTTGGGAGCGAAAGGCGATCGGGAGGCGCAACGCAATTCCAACGGCACACCTGCACGCTCGCACACAAACATACCGACAGACACGCGCACCACCCTTTCCCATCCTTTCAGCCTTCCTCTCTCAGTGTGTTTCTTCCCATCAATGACCCTATCATTGAGCCGGGTCCGCCATCCAGATCGCCCTACAAGGCTGTCCAAGCCCTACCACCTACCCTACCTACTACGCCTTACGCCGCCTTACGCCTTGCGCCAGCGTCAGCCCCGGCGTTGCGCAACGTGCGCCCCCTAAAAGACGACTTCTCTGATCAGATCCTGTCACATTCAAGCCGAACTCCGAGTACCCACGCCCATCCCACGCCGCGCGCAACCGGGTACCTGAGTCTGTGCTCTGCCGAGGCCCTGCTCTTTGCCCCTCCCTAACCCGCACAGAGCCGAAGCAAGCATACCAAAAAAAAAAAAAAACTACTACTGGGCTGTGGTAAGATTCCTTCTACGACTGTGCAGTCGAGAAACGGGGAGGTCAGAAAAAAAAATGTTCGCAACCTTTTACGCCTCGGAGCCCACCTCGCCAGCGACTACTTTCATTTCCTCGGGGCCTGCGGATCTCCAGCCGTCCCAGGGCGGCGATTCGGCAACACCGGGTGGCGGCGCCGGGGTGGGCGCCGGCACGGGATCATCGTCAGCCACCGGCAGCGGCGGCGCCGGCAACACCACCACACAACCCGGCGTGCTCCGGCCAAAACGAAGTCAGGTCGCCCGCGCCTGCGACTGGTGCCGCATCCATCGGATCAAATGCGACACGAACCAGCCATGTCGCAACTGCGAGGCGCGCGGTGGCCAGTGCAGCAACAGCGGCAAGATGGGCGAGGTGCGCACCCTGCCGCGGGCCATTCGCGAGATTGAGAGCTTGCGGTTGCGGGTCAAGGACCTCGAGGCCCAGCTCGAGGCGACCAAGGGGCCATCGGACGCCGCCGAATCGACGACGAGGAGTCCGTCGAGGTCGCAGACGCCGAGCTCGGTCAGCGGCTCGTGGGAGGTGCCAGCGCTCCTCGGAATGCACAGCGGTGGCGCCACCAGCAGTGCAAGCCCAAACATCCATCTGCATGCTGGTGGTTTCGGCACGCCGCAGTTCTACGGTCCCTCGTCGACGAACTACTTCGTCGACCGGATCACCAGCTACCTCAAAAGCGTTGTCCCCCAACCCTTTCTCCAGCCCATGCTCGAGAATGGCACAGGCCCAGACGTCGAGCAGCCGCAGTTTTCGCAACAGCAGCACTATCGCAGCCCAATGTCTGGTCGCAACCTGACTGGCGCACAGGAGGTCTACTTCCTCGACCTGTATTGGCGCTCGTGGCACACCATTCACCCAGTGCTCGATGAGGCGGACTTTCGTGCGCATTACAAGTCGCTCTGGGCCGGTTCGCACTCGACGGATGCGAGACTGCCGTCGGCGCTTGTCGACATTGTGCTCGCCCTGTGCATGCAGTTCAGCGTGGCCTCCACCCCTCGCGACACCTCGTTTGAGACCTCCTCGCCAGAACCCGCCTCGAGCGCCGGCCGCTTCCTGCACCATCGAGCCCAAGACATCCTCGCCACGTCATTAGAGTCGCCAAGCCTCGCAACGCTGCAGTCCCAATTCCTGTCAGCCGTCTACCTCGCAAACGCGTCGTACCTGACCACGGCCCACGCGACCCTCGCCTCGGCTGTCCGAACAGCCCACGCCCTCGGCCTCCATCTTGACCCGCCAACGACCCTGCCGCGGCCGCAGGCCGAGCTGCACCGCCGCGCCTGGTGGTGCCTCTTTGCCCTCGACACGCGCCTCAGCATCCGCCTAGGCCGCCCTTGTGCAACCCACCTCGCGCAGACGACTTGTGCTCTGCCGTCCGACGACCCGTCTCTCGAATCCGTGACGGCAGACTCGACCTCTCGCCCGTCCCGGCTTCTCTACACCTGCACGCGTGACTCGCTCGCGGCGCAGGCTGCACCACCGCC